AACCGAGGGCATGTGTGGAGAGGGAGGACGACGAGGGAAACTAGTTTTGCTTGGCTCAGAGTGATGAGACGGGGTGGGGAGAGCGATGAGAGGGCGCGCGAGCAGAGCTTGCCATGCAAGGGCCGGGTAGCTGTAGCTGGGGAGCTGTGAAGGTACGACGGAGGGTGGCGGGCACGCGTGTCAAGGGATTCGGAGACACAGACGATCTGTGTTGAGCGAGCCCACACCAAAGTGGTCATGTTTCACGTTCCATGCCGCTAAGCCCAAGGACTGACACTGAGGTGAGTCCAAATAGCCCCATGATGCACACATCCTGATGTTCTCTTGGATCCATGGGCCATGTTGGATTGCCGGCCTCAAATGTCAGAAACGAAATTTGTCTGCTGGACTCCCCACGGTTAATACGGGCCTCTCTTGGGCCTCGGTTTTCGAATAGTCCAGCTAAAGATCAGTCCGACGCAGCATATCAAAGCACGATTTTATTTATTTATTATTATATTCCCCTCAAAAAAAATATATTTATTATTATATATATTGCAACAAAAAATGATGGAAAAACCCCTAAAAGGATGGTGTCTAAAAAAAACCCAATCACTACACAAGTCCTGTTACAAGGCAGCAAATACTAAATGTTTGCTAAATATAAGGTTTAACGTAACAGGAGTTAATTAATAGTCTTCAAAAATGGATATAATAATAAAGCACTTCTAAATATGGGGTTTGTAGTCTGGTATTCAGCACACAAAATTGAACAAGCAGAAATTAATTATCTGCCATGTTTTCTTAGCTCACCACCCTCTATAAAAGCATGATCACAGAGCATGCCACTTCAATCTTCAACTGCACACACCCAAACACACAGAGCAAGAGATCCTGAAATCAAAACTACTGTACACACATCTCAGCATCTCATGGCGTTTCTCAGGCGTACTGAAACTAGGGCCATGTTCTTGGCTGCCATCGTGTTCTTGTGCGGGGTCATAGTCAGGCGTACTGAAACTAGGGCCCCTGTGCGCAAGCAAAAAATGGCAATGGCTGTACGTACTATATATGCGCACTCTTGTTATGTCATAATACATATATCCTTTTATAGTTTTATTTAGTCTTTTAGACATGGACACGATCATACCATCGAGTATTTATTTAATTTCATGGAATTTGTGCAGTTTGCCAGCATCTGCCGGGGTGCACTATCAATTCGTGCCGCGCCATGTGCATCTCCAAGGGCTACGGCAACCTTTTCCCGAACTGCGGGAACACGCGCACGACACTGGACAGATGCTGCTGCTTTATTGTTAGTTAGTTTCAGAATTGATGCCAGCTCTGCTAGCAGCTGCTCCTGCACTGCACTTTCCTGTTATCAGTTATCCTCTTGCACTGCTTCTGAAAATTAAACAATAAATGTCAAAGTTCTGCAAACTGATCCCATGCTTAAAATCCACATACCAAAGGAGCAAGCAGCAACAAGAACATCAAGGCAGCAAAGTGCCATTGCAATCGATTTGAACAGCTAATAAAACTTAACAAATCAAAGACGCCTATCAGAACCCAATTCTGATGCTAGAAACTGCAGTAGATTGCACTAATCTGCAAAAGCTGGAAGGAAAGACAATGTTTTGGTGGGATCAAGATTCAAGAGGTAAGCCAGAAAGCCACTAGCAACCTTTCAAACAGCACTTCACCACGAGGAAAGACACATCACCCGTTAGTCGGCTTCTTCCAAACGTCATATATTAAAAAAACGGAGGAAGTACTCAGATTAACTAGGACCACATATAGTTAGACACATGTCAGCTTAGCAAGGAAATGTACATCTTGAAAGCTGTACAGCACAAACCAGGTTCAGGACAGGACAAGCCCAAGAGCTAAAAGAAACCCCTAAGGAACAAAATAGGCTCATTGAGCACTGCCTTATCACTCACCTCACCTCGTTCAGCAGCAGCACTTGGTACTTTGTCAACAGCTTAATTGAGCACTGCATATATCACTTGGCATCAACTTCATCGAAACTGCACATCTGCCTATGTAACTTGATTGAAACTTCATAAGACAGCATATATCAGTAGGCAGCAACTTCATCAAAACTGCATATCTGCATATGTCACTTGGTAGCAACTCCACTTGATATATCTGCGTATATCAGCTGACAGCAACTTCACGCAGTAATACAAGAAGTATAGCTGAAAGAACCGGCTCAGAGTTCATCAAGCACTTTCATATTCTAATATGCTCCAAATTAAAGGATACGAGATAATGCTCACTGTCATTCCAAAACAATAAGGTAAATATATAGTCGAACTTCTGAACTATACATCTCTGGAGATTTAAGCATTCTATAACGCCACCCTCCTCGCCAGCTCACCAGCAAGCGTTGGGAATTTCTGCAACAGCATGATAAAACCATCTGTGACCACTGCCTTCTTGAAATTTTCCTTCACAGCAAACAAGTCCATGCACTTTGTCTTCAACTTTAGACAGCCGTACGTCTCGGTGCAAGCTAAAACAGAAGCAACCGTTTCCGCCGAGACATTTTTACATAGCTTGAGTTCACATATAACCTCGAGACGGTCCAGCGCATATCGGTCAGCTGCGGCAAGCAAATGTATCATCATCTCAACGAGAGGGTCTCCAAGCTCATCATCTGCAGGCAAGGCATCCGTGTACATGAACTGGAGCATAACTCTGAATGCCGCGGGCTCGATGTCGTGCAGCGTGATGGATGGCATTGTGGCGTCTGCCATCGGGCCAAAGAGTTCAGCACGGAAGACCGGTGATCGGGCTGCGAGCACCGCACGGTGAGCAGGGAACACCTCACCACCCACAACAAACGACACATCTGTCCCCAAAGCGGAATCCAGTAGGTGGCCCAGATGGCTTGCTAAGTCGGGTTGTGGTGGCACAGGCAAGGTGTTGTCAATGTCAGGCATAACTATGACCCCGCACAAAATTGTGACCGTGCCATTTATCACATAGGATGATTCGAGATCACTTCGCTTCACGAAGAGATCCCACCCCTTCTCGGTGCCGTCCTTGGGACGGTAAACCTCCACGGACCTGATCACATCTGAAGAAGACAGCGTGCCATCTCTGCCCACTAGGGAAGCATCAAAGATGGCCTTGGCATTCTTGGATTTGGTCACCAGCTGCAGGTAGATAGATAAGTGCTCGCCATCGCCATATATCTCGTACCCACGAGGGTAGCAGTTAATCCTCCACAGGTAACCCCCGGCGGAGAAGTTCTCAGAGCTCACGACGTCCCCAATGCCAATGTGATGGATTTGCGCGTAGTCAAGCTTGAACTCGAGAAAACCAGAGCCCAACATCCTACTGCTTCGGTGCTTCCTAGAAGAATACCCATGTAAATAACACCGATTCACAAGCAACAAAACCCTTAATCGTAAGAAAAACTGAAGAAAAGGACGCGGAAAAAACTCACTCACATTCCAACAAATGGTTGTGGACTTGTGGTGGGGTAGGGTTTGTGGGCTTGGTGGTTGCTCTAGCTGCCGCCGCCGCCGCCGCGGTGAGCTTAAGACTCCCAAGCAAAGGAACGGCGTACGCCTTGTCTCCGACAAACCTCTTGCTGCCGCCGGCCGCCGCCCGCCGATCGTCGCCTCCGACGAGCCTCCGCAGCTCGCTTCACGGTTTGGGGCTGTGGGGACGGCGGATAGTGATGGGCATGCCGCCGTGGCGCCGCGGCCTAGTGACGTAAGCCGCCCGCTCGAGTGCTGCGGTGAGACTCGTGGGCTCGTGGCCCAAACATAGGCCCATCAAAGAGGATAGGCCCATGGTTGCCTTCTTTGCTAAGGATAAGGCCTAAAGAGATTACTTCTTTAAGGTACGTGACGTGAGACTGCAACTGTGTGTGACACGAGATGGCAATGGAGACTTGAAGTTGGATGATGAAGGTGGTGAACAAGGAAGAATATGTAGAGCACTAGGTGACCTCTTCGGCTTCTCCGACGGAAGTAATGGCGATGAGGGTGTTGGAAGTTGGGACATTACTCAATAGTCATGAAGAATGTGCACTGTCGGTTCCGCTAAATGTTTTTAGGGCCAACGTTGAGCCCCCAGTGCCAATTCCATGCTTAAAAATCCACACACCAAAGGAGCAAGCAGCAACAAGAACATCAAATCAACAAAGTACCATAGGCCAGAGCCCAGAGCAATCCATTTGAACAGCTAATAAAACTTATCAAATCAAAGATGCCTGTCGGAACCCAAAATTCGATGCTAGAAATTGCCATAGATTGCACTAATCTGCAAAAAGGTGGAAGGAAAGACGATGTTTTGGTGGGATCAAGATTCAAGAGTTAACCCAGAAAGCCACCAGCAACCTTTCAAACAGCACTTCACCATGAGGAAAGGCACATCATCCGCGAAGCAGTTTAGCTAGCTTCTTCTAAATGCCATATCTTAAAAAACAGAGGTAGTACTCAGATTAACTAGGACCACATATAGTTAGACACATACCAGCGTAGCGAAAGAAAATATACATCTTCAAAGTTGTACAGCACAAATCAGGTTCAGGACAAGACAAGCCCAATAGTGAAAAGAAACCCCAAAGGAATAAAATAGGCTAATTGAGCACTGCCTTATCACCCACCTCGCTTCATTTAGAGGCATCACTTGGTACTTTGGCAACAGCTTAATTTAGCACTGCATATATCAGTTGGCATCAACTTCATTGAAACTGCACGTCTGCCTATGGCGCTTGAACGAAACACATAAGACAGCATATATCAGTAGGCAGCAACTTCATCGAAACTGTATATGTCACTTGGTAGCAACTCCACATATCTGCATATATCAGCTTGCAGCAACTTCGCGCAGTAATACAAGAAGTATAGCTGAAAGAGCAGGCTCTCTGTTCATCAAGCACTTCATATTCTAATATGCTCCAAACTTAAGGATACGAGATAATGCTCACTAGCATTCCAAAACACTACTAAATATATACTCGAAATTCTGAACTATATATATGTGAAGATTTAAGCATTCTATAGCCCCACTGTCATTGCCAGATCAGCAGCAAGTGTTGGGAATTTCTGCAACAGCATGACAAAACCATCTGTGACCACTGCCTTCCTGAAATTTGTCTTCACAGCAAAGAAGTCCATGCACTTTCTCTTCAACTCCGGACAGCCGTATGTCTCAGCGCAAACTAAAATAGAAGCAGCCGTTTCCGCTGAGACATTCTCACATAGCTTGAGTTCACATATAACCTTGAGACGGTCCAGTGCAAATCGGTCAGCCGCGACAAGCAAATGTATCATCATGATCTCAGCGAGAGGGTCTCCAAGCTCATCATCCGAAGGCAAGGCATCGGTGTAAATGAACTGGAGCATAACTTTGAATGCAGCAGGCTCGATGTCGTGCAGCGTGATGGATGGCATTGTGGCGTCTGCCATGGCGCCAAAGAGCTCTGCGTTGAAGACCGGTGATCGGGCTGCGAGCACGGCACGGTGAGCAGGGAACACCTCACCGCCGACGATGAAATACACATCTGTCCCCAAAGTGGAATCCAGTAGGTGGCCCAGATGGCTTGCTAAGTCGGGCGGTGGCGGCACAGGCAAGGTGCTGTCAATGACTATGACCCCGCACAAGATTGTGACCCTGCCATTCATCACATAGAGCAACTCGAGATGACTTCGCTTCACAAAGCGTTTCCACCCCAGCTCGATGCCGCCCCTGGGTGGGTAAACCTCCACGGACCTGAGCGCATCTGAAGAAGACAGCGTGCCATCTCTGCACACCATGGAAGCATCGAAGATGGCTCTGACTCTGACGTTCTTGGATTTGGTCAGCAGCTGTAGGTAGATAGATAAATGCTCGTTGTCTCCATCTACCTTGTCCCCACGCGGGTAGCAGTTAATCCTCCACAGGTAACCCCCGGCGGAGAAGTTCTCGGAGCTGACGACGTCCCCAATGCCGAAGTGATGGATTTGCGCGTAGTTAAGCTTGAACTCGAGAAAACCAGAGCCCAACATCCTACTGCTTATCTGCATCCTAGAGGAATTCCCGTGTAAATAACACCGATTCGCAAGCAACAAAAACCCTTAACCGTAAGAAAAACTGAAGAAAAGGACGCGAAAATACTCACGTTTCCAACAAATGGCTGTGCACTTGTGGTGGGGTAGGGTTGGTGGGATTGCTGGTTGCACCAGCCGCCGCCGCTGCCGATCTATCACCGGCGCCGCCGTGAGCTTAAGGCTCCTCAGGAGAGGAGCAGCGTACGCCTTGCCTCGGTCAAGCGTCAAGCCTCCTGGCGCCGATCGTCGCCTCCGACAAGCCTCCGCAGCTCGCTTCACTGTTCGGTGATGGGACGGGAGAGAGTGATGCCCTGGCCGCCGCGGCCTAGTGACGTAAGCTGCCCGCTCCAGTCATGCTGCGGGGAGACTCGTGGGCTCGTGGCCCAAAAATAGGCCCATCAAAGCGGATAAGCCCACCGTTGCCTTCGAAGACACCTTCGCCTTTCAAAAAAAAAGGGACCTTTTTTTTTTGAGGAACAAAAAGGGACACCTTCAATCATGAACTAGTGAGGTTATCTTGTAAGACTATTCCTTTGTTCGGAAAAAGCTTTCACTAGCAAAAAAAAAAAAAGAGGAAGAAATGCAATAGACAACCTAGAGTCTATTTTCTTCCTTTGTGGCTTTACTTATGCAGTCAATGCTCTGGATGAATATAGTATGGTTGAACACTGAAGTTAGAGTACTTATGTTAAATCCAACAATCAACCTAAAAAAATATTGGACATGTTGTAAGATCTAACATTTCATAACCTGCCCAAAACGAATTTGAAGCGACGAAAGAACATCGACAATTGTATCATTAGGTATAGCATAGCCTGTAAATTCATCACCTCGAATTCTTAATTTTTCACCTTGGGTGCTTGATTTTCTCTCCGCGGCCATGGATAATGAGATCGATGATCCAAGGTTTCTATCCTCATGGAGAGTGCCCAAGAGCACCTCTTTCCTTGTAGATAATCTACGAATTGGCCTTCTATTGATGAAATTGACGTATGCGACAACAACATTGTCATGACAATCACTAAAGTTATTATTGGGAACAAGATTCTGATAAAAAATATCTTTTTTCGTCGGTAGATTAATTTAAACTAAAGCTAAGTAAATTAGATTAAAAATGATAAACGAGGATAGGTCCTTTTCTTCTTGTCATCGGCGGACTCAGCGGAGCAAAGGAACCACAACGGCTGTCTCCTTGTCGTCGGCTGCTCCGAATGAGTCGTCTCGTGCATACACTGAACCAAAGCGCGCCGTGGACTGGATGAGCACGATGAGAAATATTAATGTTTACGGAACTACCGGCGCCTGAACGTCTGATCGGATACCGATTCGTCGGACAGTACTGTGGTCCAAGCCGATTCGTTTTCCACGCGCGCATGCACTTTGCACCAATGCCAGCACGCCCCGTGTGCAACATCCGATCTACTTTTGAAACATCTAGAAACAACACTTGCAACATACGTCTGAAGACAGATGAAACACTTCAAACATGTGTAAAAAACACTTGAAAACTATTGCAAACATACGCAATATGCAGATAAAACACTTGCAACATATATGTGAAACATATGTAACATCTAGATAAACACACTTAAAATGTACGTCTGAAAAAATGAAATATTAGGGACAGATGCTTGCAAAATACGTGTACAACCATAGCAATATATGCAACATCCCGATCTACTTTTGCAATATTCGTATGAAACACTTGTAATATACCTCTAAAACATTTGAAACATTTAAAATATACACTTGCAACATGCATCGTATCCCAGTGCGGCCTCCTTCGCCGTCTGCATCGGGGCACCGCAGCCGTAGCAGTAGGCGAGGCCGGAGGCCTTCCACGCCATGGCCCGGCGCTTCTCCTTGCACTGGCGGCGCTTGTTGGTGTCGTTAGGCGGGGCAGGCGGTGGAGCAGGAGCAGCGGGCAGGCGCACGGAGTAGGAGGAGCAGCGGCAGGAGCAATGGAGCGGGCGGCAGAGCAGGAGTAGTGTGGTGGGTGCGTGGAGCAGGAGCGGACGGGGCGGGTGGTAGGAGCAACGGAAGAGACGGACACGGGAGGTTGGCTAGTCCATAGGCCCAGAAAGAGGCATTCGGACGGGACAAACGTATAGTCACATAAAACGGGTTCGAAGGCATCGACCCTCGACCCAGGTTCGTCGACTGCGACCCGAGTTCGCGGGTTCATTTTCAACCCACCGTGTAAAAATGTCTCGCAGTAGCGTACCACGTCCCTCCACCCCATACGATGACCCCGTCGACCCAAAACTTTGTGACTATGGATGTACACTCTGCACACAGCATTTCGGTAACATTTAACATATCTTTTTCGGATTCAGAGTTTTAGGCACTTCATGTCAAGTACGACAGAGCGGAGAACCATAGTTATCTGTTGCTTAAAACATCATGGCACATAATAAACACTACTCCATCTTCATTTTCTGTTGAGGGTCCCGGTGCTTTTCCAAATGAATCGTTCAAACTGGGGAGAGTCGCTCGTTCACGCGCACTCGAGCACTGGGCGTGGCTGTGCCCATGCACGCCGCGTGGCTGTCGTCTCCCTGCTCGAGCACCACGCCGTTGGTCAGCTGCCGGCGCCAATGAGCGCCCAAGAGCGCCTCTGCACGCCACGCCGCACCACTGGCCGTCGCACTGCCACCCTCCTCGTCGCGTACGCCAGCTGTTTTTTTATAGAACATGACTTCATGTGTATTTTATTAAAAAGGAGAGGAGCCAAAAGAATGGCATACATAGAGCAGCTATGGGAGAACCCATAGTGCCAGTTAAGTGGTTAAGAACCTAACGACAACATAAATGAAAGAAAAGACGTTAGTGAGAGTCCCTCTACCAAGAACCTAAGCGACTAGACCTGTACAAGAGAAACAAACATCAACGCATGGCCGCCAGCAAAAGAGATGAAGCCACAGTGGCAAAGCATCCATCGAGAAGCGACGAGACTATGGTGGCAAAGTATCCACCAAAGTAAACGCGACAAAGTATCCGCGAAGGTAAGGTGGCCAACACGCCCTTGTTAGTTACTTTGGACCATCTAGGTGTGGATCCAGTGGGTGTTTACTTGTATTTGGGATAATCAGTGACTTAGAGATTCAGAGGGAGACAGAGAGAAGGTGACCCATACCTTCGAGCTTGGCAGAGAAGGAAGTAATCGCCATGGCGCCGGTGTAGGTGAAGCTCTGCGCTAGGCAGCGACGGTCAGAGAAGAGGGGCATCGCAGTGGAGACCGGCGGTGGCGCTTCCCGCCGCTGGCAGTGCCTCCCTCTCGATCGGACTAGGGTTAGACGGTGGAGTTATGGCGGCGGCAGTGAATCTTGTGTCAAGAGCCGTTTGCTCCACCTCCTCTTTATAGGCACTGTGCGACGGGGGCCCACTAGCCACTAGATGGCTGGACGTCCCCGATCAGGACATGGTCAAGGGGTCCATCTCGACCGTTGGGTCAAGACGGATGAGATCAATTCTAACATTCTCCCCTTTGATCTCAACTCATACCTTAACTTTAAACGTTGACTTTAATCCCTTTCACTTTTATTTGTTCCATCACAGATTAGTGCATAGAGCATGCTTCATCGTCACGGTCAATCGCCGATAGACTTAACAACTACAATACACATATCTGTTCTGAAACAGATTCTTTAACTTTTGGGCCCTTTATTGTCCGGAAATCATAGGCTATACCATAAACCCATGTCGACTGTGTGTCCTCCAAACACACTGGGTGGTAAGCCTTTTGTACGCGGATCTGCAAGCACTTGCTTGTTACTTTAATACTTTTAGTATGATTCCAGACTTTCTCCTTCACAACGTATAACTTTAACGTCAATGTGTTTGGCACCACACTTGACCCGTTGTTATAGGAACAAACTACTTAAATGGTTATTGCTGTTGTATACCATTATCAATTCTGGGTGTAAGTTCTTTTAACCATTTCGCCTGTCCTTAAGCCTCATAACAAACTATACTATAGGTATGCATCTTTAATGACACCACAACTGTTTCTTTGGAGCTTTTCCACAATAAAACTCCAACTACGAGTGTTAGCTACTATGTGGGTTTCACTAAACATCTCGCCAAAATTTAACATTTGTACCCACAACTATTTGAGAGTACTTATTCTTTCTTACTCACCATGAGGCCTATAAATCTTTGCACAATTGCAAAACATTCTCAACTCTATTTCAGTGATCTATATCTGGACTGGACTTCTGCCAAAATATCCTGCATACATGAACTATGTCAGGGTAAGTTCTTACTTATAAGCACTCATTAAGCTTCCAACAGCTGAAGCATATAGGACGTCCTTTCGATCTCACATTGGCTCTTGGAACACTGAAAGTTCACAAAACTATTACCCTTGACTATAGAAACAGACATAGGTTTATTCACATATATACTTTATTTCTTTAGAATCTTCTCTAAGTATACACTTGAGATAGTTCTAATACCCCTTTTTCTTTTATCTCGGTAAGTTCTAATTTCTAGAACGAATGACGCTTTACCAAGATTATTCTCATTGAAACTTGAGGACAAGAACTGCTTCTTCTCCAACAGTAGATTAACACCACTACTAGCGAGCAAGGTGCTATCCACGTGCAGGATTAGGGAAATTGATTTCCCATGTTTAAACTTTGCATAAATGCAATTGTCCTCTACATTCTCTTTAAAACCCAAACTTTCTTATTGTACTGTCAAACTTCAAGTACCAATGTCTTGAAGCTTGCTTTAATCCATAAATGGATTTCTTTAGGCAACATCCCTTATGTTCTTTTCCTTCCACGACAAAACCTTTTGAGTTATGCCATGTAAACTTTTCCATACAAATCCCCGTTGAGGAATGTGTCTTTACATCCTTCTGATGTTACTGTAAATCGTAATGTGCCACTAACACCATTATGATTCTAAAAGAATCCTTGCATGCTCATTATAATCTATTCCTCCTACTGTTT